CGATCCAACACCGCCCCCTCACGGCTCCCCAGCTGCCAAAATCCAGCGTCTGCGGGGCCGCACAGGCAACTCTTGACAAAAAATCACGGGGGTCCCCCTGCTCCAGCTCTGACACCGCTGGGGATGCACCCTGTTTCCCAGGGACAGAGCGCTGCAGGGATCCGGCCACCCGCAGTCGCTCCCCTGATGGAAGTGGGGTAGGTGGGGTGGATTCCTGCCCTGCTGCCAGTCACCGACACGGGGAGACATGGATTCACACAGGAGCCGATCACCCAGCCTGGCTACACCCTGCATCCATCACCTGCTGAGCTGAGTGTTGCCACCTTCACACCAGGTTTACACCCACATGAAAGTCCCAGAACAGCACATCACCACATCGACTGCTGATGACACCTTGCACTCTCCTTGTTTTGACTTTGTCACACAGACTGGAAAAAGATGGTTTTCCTTCTTAACATGGAAAAATTTCCACTGGTAGCATCGAGTTGGCTCTAAGCCCAGGTAAAGCAGGTGTCCTGGACACATAACAAGGCAGCAAGTTTGCTGCTGCAGACACTTGGAAAAGCTGAGCTGGGTGCTGCCCCAAGAGCCTCGAGGATGGCTCAGGGTGTGTAGGTATTTACACAGGAAAGGAAGGAAATGAAGAATGGTCTCCCAGTCCCTTCAGTCTGGCATTAAGAAGGGATAAGAGGTCCCCAGGGCATTTCTCATCCCTCTTCCCCAGAAGCTGATATGCCCTCTGGCTCAGGCATATCAACTGTGCCTGTACCAAATGGGGCATTTTCAGTTTACGTGTGCTGGACATCAACCTCTTGTATCCCCTGCAGGAAGCTGTGCCTGCTGAAGCCCACTCCTGCAGCTCTCCTCCAAATAAACAATTCCTGGATTCACACACCCTGGGCAGCTCAAGCATTTTTATCTCACTTCCTTACCCTACCCCCATCCCAAAAAAAAAAAGTGAGATGTTACTAGAAATGGACAATGTGTCCACTTCTGTTGCAGAGCTCATGCTCCTGAGCTGGA